CGATAGAAAACTCAATTAGTTTTATTTACTTGATGATTTTCTTTATTCTCGTCACGTGCCTATTTAACAGTGTATTGATCTTCTAAGAGGTTAGATGTTGATCTTTCTTTGCAATTAATAAACAGTTAATCTCAAAGTGTTGTTTTTCGGCTCGCAGGTTATTGCAGTAATTCTCGCTGTTTTTCTTCACCATGGAAATGGCCGAGCTATCATATCAACCAGCAACTACAACATTGAAAGAATGCTTGATTTAGCTGAGGAAGAATTAAACACGATCTTGAATGAGACAAATGAGAGGACAACTGAACGAGAAGAGAATCCAGCTGATGTCCTTAGATTATCAGAACCAAATTCATCAAGCCTTGAAGCAGTACAGTTTCAGTTCAGTTCAGGTAACATGATCCAAGCGAAGGAAGCGAGACCTGTTTTGAGACAGAAGAGGTCTCACGTAGGCCCGTGTTACAATGGCACCTCCCAGACGGTCCAGCTGGACAGCGGCGTAGTCAGACAGTTCCCCATTTGTATGCAAGTTTCGCTTACCGGTTGTGGAAGTTCCATATCAAAGTACGGCATGAGAAAATGTGTGGGTTCGGATCACGAGACAGTCAGCGTCCGCCTAGCAAACGGGGCCAATCAGATAAGAGTATATCCGAGAAAATGCTCATGCGCTGTGTGAAATGCATCATGATCGTAACGTACACTGCGTCTGGAACACAGAGATATTTGAGCTGAAAACATTATTTATAGTAATATATTAGTTTTTAACGATATTTATAACGTATTCTGAAGCTGAGCTTCTCTGACATTGTTTTAACAACACAAAGACAGCGAGGGTCAACACTGTTAAATTGAATCTGCCTGGGTAATTGTCGATTTTGGTGAAGCAGTTTTTCAAGTAAGGCACCCAGGTATACTCTTTGTTTCGACAACCGACTTTAATGAATTTAGTAAGGAATAAAACGATGTAGAAAGAAACTGTCTTAAGTAAAATTGACCACAAAGTAGAGCTTTGCGGAAATTCTCGTAAGAAATCATTTGAGCGGTAGTTTTCATTGCAGCTTTCCAGTCTGCTGTGGGGTCGGTCTGCGGGTCAGTCAATTACATTGATACCTAGTTCTCTCTCAATCTTTGATATTGAGGCAGCACTAAATCCTAAATCACTTCAAAACTAACAAAATTATAAAATCAGTCGGCAGGTTAGACTTTGAAGGTCGTAAGTTGCCAAAAGTCTGAGGTTTAACAGTGTTTATCTTCATTGCTTTTATTATTTATAGTAAGAAACTAATGTTATATTATAGATATATTATTTTGATCAAACAGTATTTATACAGTATTTTATGCTATTGGCGGGAAAAGATGAGAAGTGCTTGACAGAGAGAGTCTAGCTTCACGGTCAGCACTTCAGTTCTTAGAGTACGATTGTTATTTATAATAAAGAAATATTTAATAATAAAATAATAATGACTTTATTTATAGGGTCAACCAGACAAGTGTTAGTTATATTAACATCCTAGGATAATGTCTCTTTAATTAAAAAAGTCATTAAAGAGAAAGTTTGTTTTATTTCCAGTCTACCGTCATCTTGTATGATTTCATTTCAACCAGAAAATTAGTTTTCCCAGTCCTAGTTTGGATTGCCAAGAGGAGAAATTAATTTTGAATACTTTGTCGCTGCAAGCTGCAGTCCAACATATATACCTTGTTTCGGTTGAAAAATGTTACAAGACCAAACGTATTTCAGCTTAAGAAAACACTGCTCTGCTTTCTTCACAAAAGGGAGGTTGGAGTGCGAGAAAGGTCATAGAAATTCGTAGACGCTTCGACGGAGCGTAACGCTCACGAAACACAAAACCGACAAATCAGATTGATCTGGGGACTGGACGCCAGGATTCCTGAGTGCGCTGGATCCAGTCCACAACGGAACAGTGGCTTTGATTAAGCCTGGTTTTCACTAACGACGCAATCAAAAGCGCAAACACAGCAATTCCTATTTCACCGTGAAAACGGCCTTGACGCAGGCATAAGTAATACCCAGGCATAAGTAAGCACAAGCACAAGCACAAGGATCAAAATTTTTCCTTTTTCTTGTGCTTGCGCGTATGCTTGCGTTTGCGCTGCAACAAGTGAAGACGAAATACCGCTCAGGCATAACACAAGCAGAAGGATATTTACCACGCGTAGCTACGTTTGGCCAGGTAAAACACTGGATCCAGATTGCCTCGCCCCTAAACAGCTCGGAACGTTCGGATGATTTTGCTTGTGCTTATGTTTGCGTCGAATTTCGTTTTCACTTGGGTCATCCCTATTGCTAGCGCTTGTGCTTGCATCGCTAGTGAAAACCAGGCTTTAGGGAACGTGGCGCACCTGTGGTCCCACCACGCATCACAGCTGGCTAAGGAACCGATGAATCCGTGACCAGAGTGGATTCATCAGTTCCTTTGATGCACCATGATCCGAATGATCTTGGATTACTGACCATATTACCAGAAAAGAACGCATCCTTAGCTTCTTAGCTGCCATGTGACTAACTGTCTCATTGTGGACAAGTTTCAATTTGGGGTGACGCAGATATGATTTCATGATATAAACACAAGTGTTTTACTGGAAATTATAAAATGACTGAGCTACTACGCGTGCTCTCATTGGTCGATAGGTGTGTTTAGATGAGAGTATGTAAACACGGTTGTGACGTTTCAGATTCGCGCGTACTTTTGAGAATTATTTCATAAAAGCAATAGAGCACTTTTTCTATTTTTACATGGCCTCGTCTAAACACTCTAAACACTGGGAGAATTCTTGAAAGTTATGCAAACCCTCGACTACGTCTCGGGTTTGTATAACTGTCTCGTATTCTCCCAACCCTCTTTGTTCTTACTGGCTATGTAAACACGGGAAAAGTGCTCTATTGTTTAAAACAGCTCTCATAAAATTCATACGAAACCACATCCAGGACTTGGGTGGCGTATTCTCCATATCCTCACTAGTGAAGATATTGATGACTTTACTGATATCATGTTTGACCCTTAAACTGTAGTTATGTTTGTTTGTGTGTGATCGAAAAATCTTCCGATCTTCCTCAACAATCTTCGGTAATCTTTGGTTATCTTCGGAAATTTTAGGAAAATGTTTGGAAACTTTCGTGTGGCCTGCGGACAATTTTTGGAGAATCTTTGGAAAGTGGTCGCAAATCTTCGGAAAATCGTAAAAATCGTCGTTACGTTATCAGTATGTTTATACAATAAACATAATAATACATGGTTGCTCGTGTTTAACTTTGTATATATCTGCTTTGTATATATCGAGTGGAACACTCGAAGAGATATTCCATATCTACGCGCGTCTACGTATAATATATATAATTCATGCCATCCGAAAAAAAAAACATACTGAGTAACCATTTTCAGCACTGAGTATCATCTTTTCTATCAAAGATTCTACCTTTCCTATTAAAAACACTGCTTGTGATAGAATATAAGCATAAATTATGCGGCAAGAGCTGATCGAGTGTTCTGACTCCAGAAGTTGAAACAAAGCACGAAAGTCCGGTCTTAAAAATTATGATCCCAAGATCGCGTACAGGAATTAGACTATGCAGAATAATCTATTTTCACGATTTTAAATTGTCTCAGTCATATTTCTTGTTTCACCACAGTTGATGTCAAGTCGTGTCGATGGAAATGGACAAAAAAGGGAGGTTCCGTTTTAAAAGTCGTTTTTATTTAACATAATATTGAAATTTTTGATATCACTTCTACTATTGTTGTAGTTCGTTGCTTCCAAAGGGCATCTTCACAATACTCAAACAAGGCCCTAAAATTTGGAATTCTCTTCCAGTGTCCATAACTAGTTCAACACGCTTCTCCAGCTAAGGAAAAAATCATTACATTTTTTTAACAAGTAAAGAAGCCTAAGCCGTGTATTACACTGAGATAAAACACGACGGGCGTTTGAGAACACGAGGGCAATGTAGAAAACACGAGCCGTAGGCGAGCGACTTTTCTACATGTCTCGAGTGTTCTCAAATATCCGGAGTGTTTTATCTCAGTGTAATACACGGCTTAGTCTTCTTCATTTGCTTAATGATATAGAGGTAATATGGCGAAAAAGAATAAAACACGCTTTTTCTATGTTTTATACTGTGATAAAACATGGGTTTTCGACCAATCAGAGCGCGCACAGGGTCCTATCTATATTATAAAATGAAATAATGGTTGATAAGACATGCATAAAACTTAAATTTACACCATATCAACAACTAAGGTGGCCTCCGCTGTAAGCCTAATAGTTATTATTATTATTATTATTTTTGGATTACAACTTTTAATATTCTGCACATCTAGGATTAGTAGGGCCTTTGAAATCGATAAGGAACTATCAAGACTTTAGTATTTTATTATTATTATTATTATTATTATTATTATTCTTTTGTCCCGGATTTCCGCCGATCTAAGGAACCATGAACATTTTAACGGGTTATCTTCTGTATATTATTTTGTATATTAAACGTGTTGGATTATTAATTTTTAGAAAATTATTATTATTATTGTTATTATTATTGTTCTTCTTCTTCTTCTTCTTATTATTGTTGTTGTTGTTATTGTTATTATTATTATTATTGTTCTTCTCATTATTATTATTATTGTTGTTGTTGTTGTTGTAATGAAAGTCTGCCGTTTAAACGCTAATCGGGCGTGTGTCCTCTAATTTTAGAAATTCGATGATGGCATGAGCTTGTGAATTAGTATTTTAGGATCTCATGATATTTTTATTTTCATCAAAATTTTAGTCTACGATAGTGGAATGTGTGAAGATTTGTAAATAGGTTTCCTGCGGAGATTTTACTAAATTAAAGTTCTTGTTGTTGTTTTTATTACTATTATTATTATTATTATTATTTATTATGATTAGATACGGAAACATGTTTTACAGGTTTAACAGACATCAAATTATGTAAATATTATAGCATTTTGTAAAGCTTAGCTCTAGTTTTTGTCACAATAAATACTCCTCGTTATTATTGTCATTATTATTTACTGACTGGCAAATAAAAGATGATGATGTTGATGTTTTTCTCGCTTCAACGTCAGTACCCACCCTCATCAATCAGCCTTACACTTACAACCTGATGTGACAGTCTTTTTCAGAGCAGGAATGTAAATATAGCCACTAGGCTCACATCTGTTCTTAAGGTATCCATGGTCCGCGCATAGTGTGCTGTGAGTATGGCATATATAGTGCTTGTAGAGTTGATTACCATTGCCAGGGTAAACTTGCACTTCTTTCACGCAATGATGGAGCGACCTGACGTCATAACGCATTCTTTCTCCTGTTGTGCGCCTCTTGGTCAGAAAAGCCTGAGCACTAGCCCGTAATGTTGCTGATTTAACATGCAGACTACCTCCAGCATCTTCATCTGCATTGTCGTCTGGATCTGAAAGCGTTTTCCACGCTGGGTCTGTCGAATATCCGTTCTTTGTCAAAGCAATCTGGGAAATAAACACGATAGAGTAAATTTGGATTTTTTTGGATGGGGAGGGGGGCGGGCTTAGTAGACTACTAAGAATTTGTCCACGTTGCAGTGAATTTCTGCGTTGCTTTAAATGTTCGTGCAATATTCTCAGTCCCTGAGAGATTTACATGTGCTTATTTCTTCCAAATTTGACTCGAAATCATTTGGTTACTTATACTCGTAGTATTTTGACAGGCATGTTTTACAAATTAATTTTTCTGTTTTAAATGAAAAAAAATTGAACTTTTGCCGTAACGTTCAGTATTTTAGATGCTTTTAGCTTTCTATTTCTCAGGGCGTTTCGGTGGTTTCGTGATGTTTTGTAAGGGATCGTGAGAACCAAGATTGTGGTACATGATTCCGGCTTTTTGGAAATAATGGCGTCATAATGCTACGGAGAGCTCAAAAGAAATCTTTTGGACCTGCTATAAATCCTCCAAGTTTAATTGTTATATCCTTGATATTCTAAGATTTACATGGCGACACACTAACAAGACCCTCCCGATCCCAGAAGACCAAAAAAAGCCCGCTCTGAAAAGGGTTGACCTAGTCAAACTGGGCTATGCCTCGTTTCTCAAAAACTGTAGGGAAAATCGAAGTCAAATTGATAAATGCGCTGGTAAGTCATGGCTCTTGACCAATGACAGTCATTTATCCAGTCTGCATCATACAAATTAATAGTAAATTAAAGATACAATTGCTTACCAGTATTGCCAAACACAACGCGAACTTTACCAGCTTCATGTTCTGTCTTTGTTGAAAGTTTATTCCTCTTTCGTCGGCAAAGAATGTCACTTCGTTTCGACGATAACCAAGGTACTTTTATACTTATTTTAAAGAGATGCAAAACGACAGGTTGATTAAATGTAAAGTTACTATGAGTGAAAATAGCTTAAGCATAAATGCTTGCTATAAGGCCTGAAATTATAGTCATGTCGCGACATGACTTCAATTTCCTTTAAGTGGTCTCTTTTGAGACTGAACCGATCCTTACCTAGCCTTGAATCCTTCAAACTTCACTCAAGCTTTACGCCCCCACACCATCAGGACCTCGACTATTTCAAAAGGAGTGGGTAAAGTGGGCTGAAAATAGAAGGGTCCGGGACAATTTTTATGTTTTTGCCAGTTAAATTCGATGATTTTTTCAATGATTTTTAATGGGGTCTAATACATGAAATGCTGAAAGGCGCATTACCCATGAAACAGCCATGCGGGGGAGAAATTAACAAAGATGAAGGTTAAGTGTTATGCCCAAAGTTTTCTATTTTCAAAAAACTCTACTTAACGTTGGATATAAAAATTAAAAAGCTCTTAAGCTTAGTTCGAGTTTCAAAGGGTGCGGCCGTAAAGTGGGCGGCTAGAGTTTAACTTATCAATAAAGTAAAGTTTTATGTTTTTTCCACTTGATTAGCTTCGTCTGTGACTTAATTTTGGCTGCAAATGACCAAATCGTTCATTTTCTTAAAAGCTGGATCTTTCGGGTAAAGAGGGCTTCAAATATGGCGCAAATGATTGTGAAACATTGACAGGAAATGTTTTTCTGTTTCTGAAAGGAGTCAATATAAAGGGAATGGTTTTGTGACCTGGCAAAGTTCTTTGTTGTATGTTATTGTTGGCTATTTTGGGGGTTGACCCTGCACAAAACCTGGAAAAATACAAAAGATGGTTGTCTGTTAATACAACTAACCAACAGAAGTATTGCGATTATGTAATTAGCTGTAATTCATGTATAGTCAATGAGGATAAAACAAAAGATGTGCAAGGTCAAGGACCTTCCAACATAAATCCTAGCCTGTTTGTCTGCTGCTTTGATGTTTACCGGCTAGTTTTAACCATTTCCTCTATTAACTATGTTGTGAATCAATAAACACCATTTTCAAGCAGGAAGTGGCTGTTTGTTTGCGGAATATCGCATCTGAAATAAGCATGCAATTAGAGTATGTTTGTAATCAAATGTTTAACTGAGGCAGGCCGGAGTCCATTTCCGACTCAATATGAAATGATGTTAGTTGCAAGAATTAAACAACACGGCGTAAACTTGAAAGCGAAACTGGAACCAGAACATATGTCCTTGAATTTGGCTTACGAGAAGTGAAGAGAGCATTGAATATATTAGGAAACTGAATCATAGGGAAAGTGTAGGCAGTTTAAAGAAGAAGAATCATGTACTTAAGTACTAGATTCAAGTACTGAATTTAAGCCTTCCCTTAGTGGATTCAGTCAAGCTCTTTGTACGTAGTGAATTCGTTGTAGATAGTTGTTCCGAGTTAGGTTAATGCATATGGAAGCAAGCACTTTCACGTCTTTTTCAGACCTCCAGTTGTATATTTTAGTTATTTAATCTGGTTTTGTTTTTGATTTGTTTTTTTTCTTATGTTGGATTGCATCATACGGAATGATTGTAAAAACCGACAGAGTTCTTCGTTACGTTGTAGGATTTTGTTTGCATTTCTAGCTTTGACCGTGCACTAAACACAATTATTGTTTACTGCGTACTGAGAAACTAACCAATAGAAACGTTTTGCTCACGTAATTCATGTATAGCGTATGAGTGCAAAACAAAAGATTGGGCGCGGTTGTGGACCTTCCAACATAAATCTTACCATCTTTGTTTGCTCCTTTGATGTTTTCTGGGCTTCATAACCATTCCCCTCTATTAACTATGATTGAAGATATGAGTGAAAATGCTCTTGAATCAAAAATCACCTTTGGTAGTTTAAATATATGTTTATTGGAATAACTGGAATATATGGATAGCAAGCGTGACTCAGTCTTACTTAAATAAGTGTTCCCTCCGAAAACGTTTTCCTCGGACCTTTAAAGTCATAATAATAATAATAATAATAATAATAATAATAATAATAATAATAGTAATAATAATAATAGCGTTAACGTTAACGTTGACGTTAAAGATAACGATAACCATAACAATAATAATAATTTTAATAATAGTGATAATAATAATAATAATAATAAAAATAAAATAATAATAAGCAAGGGTGGGTTCAGAAGAAAAGTCACCCTAGACAGGTCGAACGAATGTTGTTCTACACTCACGTAGTCGCCTCATAACTGTTTATTTTTGGGTATTATTTCTCTATGTACGTTTCTTAATCCCTTCCATTCGTTAGTTTTAGAAAAAACTATTACCAAGATTTGACGGTCTTTCATGATTGTTTTTTGATAAAAGAATTATTACCTGACTCACGCTTGGGGGATATATCATGATTGTAGTTATACCACAGGGGGCGGATCTAGGAGGAGAGTGTAGGGGGTGCGCACCCCCTCCTGAGATAACATATTCGCTTTTTAAATTAGTTTACCTCACCAATCAGTCACGCCATTCCTTAGTGGTGCACCCCTCCTAAGAAAAATCCTGGATCCGCCCCTGCTCCAGAAACGCCTGTACTTGTGGAATAATTGTTTTAAAGATCAAATCACTCATCCGAAAGTCAGTTTCTAAATCTTTCATTCATTTTGAATTTGGCAAATAAAATTAACTATACCAAGATAAATATAAACAGTAGCCTCCATTTGGCGCGAAAATATGCTCGGATATTAGTTCTGAGAAGCAAACAGTTTTCCGAGAGCGCTTGCGTAGTCCAAGGAAACCTGTGAGTTTTGGGGAACAGATAATGAAAAAGAACGAATATTTTCAGTGCATATTTTCGCGAGAAATGGAGGCTATTGTGTTTATTATCCTTCAAACATCTTTCTCAACACGCACAGTTTTGAAAATTGGGGAATATCACTCGGATATTATTCAGTCACGTAACGCGTTTACACCAATCGAGGGTGAGCGAAAACATTTGATGGGTTATAAGCCAGGACACTTTCATTCCTCGGTTTATTTTCATATCCTATTAAATTACAGAGCTGGGTAAAAAGTGGAAACCAAATTAGCATCAATTCTTAAACTTGCATCCTTTACATAATAAAAAGCGTTTAAATTTGCATAAAATTAACATTTACGCCGATACATTGTGCTGAGCTGAATTCTTGAGTCGCACTAGTTTGCCGGGGATGATATGATGTACAACAAATGATCAACTCGTGAATTGGCATTTTTTGGCCACTCAAATACTGCGGCGGTTTTAATTGAAACTCAAATAAAAGTTAATTGTTACGATGTCCATGGTAATAAAATTATCATTTTCAGCAAAGGTGGGGCGAGAAAGGCGCCAAAAGCTACAACATTGTGGCAGCCCCACCAACACACCACTGAAGAGCTTGCCAATTGAAAACCAATTTATAGAGGATGGAGAATAATATTGACCGATCAGAAACAGCCCGTGCTTGACTTACCTCGCCGTCGAACTTTTACAATACTCTTGTGAGAGCTGGCGCAAAACATATGGCAGCCCATCTCCGACCCACGTTGCTGTCACGCAATGACGCACAACAGAAAAACTAATATACAGCTAAATATGTGAGGACGGAAACTGTAGCAGCCTATGTCTGACCTCTGTTTCCGACATCACTTATAAATTTAGCTAAAGTAGCATCTTGCTTTACAAAGCAAAAAGCTTTTAAATTTGCGTAAAATAAAAAATTTAGATCTATGTGGTCATTTTTGAATTTCGGAGGACCGGATGAGGAGATAAAATGAGTTTAAGGAAAAATTTAATCGTTTCAGTGTAGCAACTGTACACCCAGAAGTAAATTCACGAAAATGACGTCAGAAATCATAGAACGAAGGCACTGTTAAGTGTATTGTGTTAAAATACAATCGAGTAAGGAACGCCTAATTAAAACGAAAATGTTTAATCTCTTTTAAGAGTTGAACTGAAAACTCAGTTTATACCTATAAGGAAAAGGAAATAGTTTCTTTCATGTTGTTATTATTTACTTAGTTACATGGCGAGATGGTATATCCCATCAAAATATTTGACCTGAGTATCATATTTTGATATCATGTTAAAACTGAAAGAAACTAAGTTTATTTTCGCTTTCGGATGCTTTACAGTTTCGAAAACTGCGATGCAGTATGTTTGAGAGACAAAGTAATATTTGTAATTTAACTTTGCTAAATTTATCCAATTTTGTGTCTCTCTGCTAAGTTTCCCAGAGGTCTGATGACGCCTTTATTCTATGATTTCTGTATGTTGTACAATTTAATGAACTCCTCTGATTTATGTGAGAATTTAAAACTGTAAGGACGAAAACGTTTATATAATTAACAAGGCATAGGGTGTTTGTAA